ATATATATAATATGCAAAAATTAATTCTAGAGTCATATAAAAACATGTGAAAACCTCATTTTCTTTTTTCTGAAAGCTCGGTTTAACCTAATTCTTCAAATTATATATGCAATCATTTTCTACTACGAAAGTTTATAAATTTTTAACATGTGGACCAGAGGTTTGGTTGCTCACTTCATTAACCTTACAATTAAAAGTAAGTTAGAGCAAGTAGAAGCTTACCTTTGGTCTGCTAGTTAAAAACTTTAAGACATCCACACCTAAGAAGTTTTCATATATATATATATGAAAATTTTCTAATATTGGCTTTTAATTTTAGGGTTTTGTAAAGTGAGCAATTAGACACTCACCTTTAATCCGCATATTAAAACCTTTGAAACGTCTACATTGGAGCATGACTAATATATATATATATCTTGCTTCTAAAAATTTCGAAATAATAGATATGTATATATAAGAAAATTCACAAAAATAGATTACTTGCAGTTTTATAGTAAATTGTGAATTATATTAAAAACTTTGAGACATTAAAAAAAAAAAAAATTGGTCTCAGAATTATAAATTAAACCTATTAGTCTTGTGCAAAGGGCAGGAAACTCTTCAGCCAATTATTTCGACATTGTCGTCAAACAACTATTTGTAGGGGTGGATCCAGCCGCTTTGAGCCTCATATTTTTTAAAATATTATTACTATATAGACCCACAAAAAATTGTTATTAATATATATATCCAGCTCACCCTCAGATTTAAAAAAAATGAGAACTATTATACATATATCTAGATTCATAAAAAATTTGTTATTAATATATGCATTCCAAGCCCGCATCATATTAAAAATTTAAAACTTTTTCCATTCATTTTTTCCACGGCTCCACCTTTTTTTAAGGATTTTATCCCCTAAATTCTTTACTCTCTCATTCTCTCATTTTCTTCATGATGTTATTTGCTCCTAAAACTTTTGAAGACTGAAATTATTGAAACTTTCACTATTCAAGGTATCACAATTAGTTTTGTTTTCTGTTTTATCAGTTTTAGATATGTGTATTACTCATTTCAATTTAGTTTATTTTAGGGTTGAATCATGCTTTTTTTTAAGAGGTTTTTTATTCTAATTTGAGAGAAAAAGACATGGATCATGTGAGTTTATTTTGTGTTTTGTGTCTAAGAATGAACATACTTTCCCAAATTAAAACCTTAACTATATTTTAAAGGACATTATTCTTCACCCTCCACCCACCATTTTTCTACATTTCAAACGTCATCGTTCAGTTACTCAAAATCATTAAAGAAATTTCAGTTATTACCTATGTTTATACCAAAAAAAATACCCATTTTTTATTAATTCATATTAAAAGTCAACACAACGTTGACTTGATTTAAGTTTTGGTTGACTTTAACTTAGAAAATGTCTGATCAAAGTCATAAAAAATTATATTATAATCTTTGGAAGCCAAAAATAAAAAAAAAATAAAAAATTAAAAGAAGGTTTTGATCAAGGTTTACTTAAAATTTTGTTTCTTATAGATTTATTCAAGTAGGAAAGTATTGTATTATTGCATTCTTTTCTTTGAGGTTCTTGATATTGTATTATTGTATTTATTTATTTTTACTTAAGATTTAATATTTTTTAAAGTTTTCACTAGTTGTTTGACAAACAAAAGCGGAGCCGTGAAAGCCCTCCTTGACAAAAATCTTAGATCCACTACTGATTATTTGAGGAAGATTTATCTGTCGAACCCCATTAATATTGTTTTCTTCCAAATAACTCACCCATAATTCAATCCTGATTGTCAATTTTGCTTCCTTATCTTCTTCGCATTGTCGCCATTTTATGCTGGTCTTCACAGAAAGGATTATCATTTGCTTGATTGAACAAAGAGATCACAATCACACTATTATTATCTTTTTGAGGCCGAAAGGTGGGCAGGGTGGAGCCGAATTCATTTTGTGTGCAATTCAAGATAAAATGAATGCGGCCATAAGCCATTATTTATTCGACGACAATATCCTCACTTATTGTATTTGTATACGAACAAATTTTATTCGGCATATACATATATATGACTTGTATATCAATATTATTATTATTATTATTATTATTGGTATTCGGGGGCATCCGAATCAGTTTGTGCATACCTCAATTAATTTTTCGACATCTTAGAGTTAACGGTCAAATAAATCTCCAGTGACTCTTCCTTATAAGTAATCGTGGAGATTCGAACTTAGAACCTTTTGAGTAATACACCCAAGAGTCTCAAGCGAATTGTCAAACTACCTAAATATAGTTTATATAAATATTATTCATGTTTACATAATAATTTTTGAATTTTATTGAATTAATATACACTACAGAACAATTAGCATTTTCTGATACGAAGAGCTCGTCGGAATAGACCAAAAATGTCGATATTTGTTCACATCATCGAAAAACGTCGCAAGAAGCATGTCAGGTTTACATTTTTTTTTTTTTATGCAGAAAACATTTGTTGCTCTAGATTGTATTACCCCGACGCAGGGCTTGACACCGACGACGGTGGAATTTCTTATTGCAATGCTATATTTAATTGAGTGTCTAATCAAAATTTACGTGATTGAAAGAAATTAAAAAATATATATATTTATATATTTGGTGATCTCATGGGAAGAATATCTTTGAAAATAATATAAAATTAAATGATGGAATCAATTTCTTATCTTCTAAGAATAAAAAGAAATATTTAATACTACAAACAACACAAAAGTCTTTGGGAAAAAAAAAATTTACCACATGATTTTTTCTTATCAATTGTTATATTAAATATTATGGTTATGATTTTTATATATTTAGGTTGCCTTTACTATTGTATTTAGTGTTTTTTGTTTTCGAAAATGAATTTGAAAACAAAAATAAGAAGCTTGATTTCGTGTTTTTAAAATTTGCCATCGTTTTCTGAAAATAATATCCGAAAATGAAATAAGTAAAAGAATATAATAAAAATAAAAAATAAAAACAGAAAAAGTCTTATATTATAACTAGACTTTATTTTTTTTCATATATTATCCATGGAAGGAAAAGGTGAAAGAAATTATTAAAAGCAATATAATCTCCTTGATTTATATTATAAAATAATTTTTGAAATAGAGGTCTAAAATCCAATAATTTTCCACTCAATTTCTCAGTTAATGGATAGATTAATTAAATAATTTTTTGTCAAAGTTATCAACTATGGAATATGCTATATGCAAATTAGCATATACCAAACAAATATAATTGTGTAGGCTAGAGATTGGACCATACTTCATATGTCAATTCTCTTTTGACTTGGCTTCTTGTATCATTTTTTTTTTTTTTTTATACATATAATATTTTAATAACATTATCTTTAATAATATCAATCAATCGTTAACTTATATTTTCAGGATTGACTGTATCATGATCCAATGATAGAGGAAAATGATAATGTTTTCTCTAGATACTTGAAGGTCTCAACTATGGAATTCTTAATTGTTCGAAATTCAAACAATCATTTCTGACGTGTGGAATCCACTAGAAGAAAATAATTGCATCCAGATTTCTACCGTTAGGAATCTCTAACGGGTTTACTCGTTCGAACTTTAAAATGTCAATAAGTTAATAAGAGATGGTGACTATTTTTTTCTTATAGGATACCCACATTAAATGGTAGACTTGGAAAATCATATTAAAAAAAATCTCTCTTAGTTTACCTAATTAGATTATTAAACTAATTTAAAGACCAAAACTAAGAAAAAGAACACAAAAGGAACATGTGCTTGATTAAGACCAAATATAAAACAAATTGAATTTATATTTAAATCTTAGGTCTAAAATGAATAATAAAATCATATTTCGATCAGAATTTGAAGGCCCTGACTATGTGATCCAACATCTAAATTGATTCATACAAATTAACATATTTTTCAATAAATATTATAATTCTTTATATTAATTGTGACAAAAAGTCAAAGAAAATATTTATTTTTTAATTTTATTTTAAATTTTTATATAATATGACTTGAATGCATGTATAATATATTTTTTATGACAATTTTTTTAAAATATAATTTTAATTAAATATGTGCAATTAATTTGTAGTTTATTCAAACACTATGTGTTCAATGACAATTAATTTGTAGCCCATCAACATGCAAATGGGCCTCGGCCCAAACCAGCCCAACTTTTTTAAAAAGCCCAAACCAGCTGAAAATCAGAGGGTCACTTTGTACCATTAGTTTGCCCTTATCGACTAATTAAGACAAGCCCTAAAAATGTCTTAATGTAAACGGTTCGAATTCACGAGCAATGACTCTCGAATTTGAAAGACGACATTGAATACATCTGTAAAATTCATTAATTTTCTCGTCATTATTTGTTTAATGCTATTATTTTGAAGGAATAGATGATAATATGCTTTGAAAAAACCCTAATACAAAATAAACACCACTAAAACACTCACCAATCTATTCATTTGTAGAAAAAAAAAATACAAAATAATGAAGGATAAAGATGTTACATATATAACGTGTTTATAATTTATGTCAATTCAATAATATTATTATGTCAGTACCAAAATGAACTAAAATGTGTATTATTTTTTTCAGAAAATTCGTTACACCAATATGTTACATTACACCTGTTCATAAACAATTTGGATTGAATCTACTCATACGTATCGATTGTTTCTAATGGTGATTTGAATTATTTTTAAAAAGTAATACAAAAAAAAAAAAGAGTTAAATTATTAAATATCAATATTTGAATTCATTCTTAAAAAAAATACTTCAAATAGAAATGTGGAAAATAGACAATTGTTTTTTGGTTATTTTTACTTCCTCCCCCCCCCCCCCACCAAGAAAAAAAAATAAAAATAAAAAACTGCCTTAAAGTATTCGAGAAACACATTTTCTTATTTTAATTATTTTTTACTTTTTTAAATTACATTTAAATTCTGATTTATTTATTTATTTATTTTAATAAAAAAAATTTAACATGAAAGTCTCAGTTTTCTCCTGGACCATGAGTTCTGTTCCGTCCAATCTCATTGGAGGGAAGACAGCTTCCAAACCTCAAACTCAAAGCAAGACAAATCCATAGCTGGTGTAATAATAACAATTAATTATAATTAATAATAAATTACAATTTTTTCTGATTTGTTTTTAAGCTTCAGCCGGCGAAGTCGAAGCTTCCCACTTTCTCTAAAAAAGCTCAGCATTTTTAATTCGTTTCACTGAGTTTTGCTCTGAACGTGAATGAAAATGGAGTCACCTTTCAAGGCAGATATTATGAAGGGAAAGGTGGCTTTGTTGACCGGAGGAGGATCCGGAATCGGGTTTGAAATTTCTCTTCAATTGGGCAAACATGGCGCCTCCATTGCCATCATGGGTCGGCGCAAAAGTGTTCTGGACTCCGCTGTTTCAGCTCTCCACTCTCTTGGCATCCCTGTACTGTTCATTTCCTCTTCTGGGTTTGTTTGTTTTGTTTGTAAAGTTGTGATTTTGAAGTTAAAAATCTTGACTTTAGATTCTTAATTGAAGAGAAAAATGTGATCTTTTTGTTAAGCAGTGAAGGAAATTGGATTGAGATGATTGTTAAATAGTACTTTATTCTCAATATGATGTGTATTTATTATGTGCTGATTCTTATTGTTGATATTTTCAGTGAGCTGCTGAGAATTTTGTTAAATAGTAGTTTGTTTGTTTTGTTTTTGAAGTTAAAGAACTTGACTTTAGAAATTTGATCTTTTTGTTCAGTAGTTTAGTTCTCTGATGAAATATTAAGAAGGAAATTGGACTGAGATGATTGTTTAACAGTTATTTTCAGTGAACTATTGAGAATTTTGATTCCATGTATGAATGTTATTGGAGGGGAAAATTTTGAGACGGAATTGAATTGATTTAGTTTGTTTATATTGCAGGCTATCGGACTTGAGGGAGATGTTCGCAAAAGAGATGATGCAGTGAAAGTTATTGAATCAACAGTTAAGTATTTTGGCAGGCTTGACATTCTTGTGAATGCAGCTGCTGGAAATTTCCTTGTGCCTGCTGAGGATTTATCTCCTAATGGTTTTCGAACAGGTTTGATTTTCGAATATTTTCATTGATGTAGTTCAGTTCATATCTTGAGAAAGTGTTTTGAAAAAGTAATTCGGCCTTTTCGTTGCGTTTGAAGCAATATAGATGATGTATTTACCTCCTTGTCGATCCATGGATGGCTATTAGGTTGATTTGTTGGCATATTCTGTTGATGGTTTGTGCAGTGATAGACATAGATTCAGTTGGCACTTTTACAATGTGCCATGAAGCATTGAAGTATCTTAAGAAAGGGGGACCTGGGAAGGACTCATCCAGTGGTGGAACAATAATAAACATTAGTGCGACTTTGCATTATACTGCGACTTGGTATCAAATTCATGTATCTGCTGCTAAGGTTGGCGCATTTGGTTTCTGTATTGCTGAGAGTATTTTTGTTTTTCCAAAATGTCTTAAATTTGTGAGAAATGTTACCCTTTTATCAGGCAGCTGTTGATAGCATTACAAGGAGCTTGGCACTGGAGTGGGGTACAGATTATGATATTAGAGTCAATGGAATTGCACCAGGACCTATCGGAGACACAGCTGGAGTTAGTAAACTCGCGCCTGATGAGATATTGAACAAAGAAAGACAGCATATGCCTCTGTTCAAATTGGGGGAGAAATGGGATATTGCAATGGCTGCTATTTATCTTGCATCTGATGCAGGTCAGTTACTTATTTTAGTGGTCCGATACTGTTATCATTTTCTTCTAAACTTGTCGCATTAATAAGTTAATTTTAGATACTTACCAAATACACACTTCTGTTGATGCTAAATGATTGAGGCGCTTTCATTGCAAGAGCATCTTCCTTCCATCCTCCCTGGATGCGTTATCGTGCTGAGAAAGTTTTCTGTTAGTTGTTTAATGTTCATATTCCTCCATATCGCTTATAGGTTGAGCAAGATCTATGATCAATTGATTAAGATTCACTCTGTAAGTTTAATGATATGGATGAAATCCCTGTTTCATCATTGATGATTTATTTGGTGTAGGTTGGAGCTATTGCTTCTGAGATTCCAAATTTACTGTATTTGCGCCCTCGCAAGAGGTCTAATTAGATGTTCATGATGCTTTCTTGTTAGTGCATCCAAAACTAGTCCAATTATTTTGTGGTTTTGGTCTGATGACTGTATATTCTGAGTAGATGAGTCCACTAAACTTATATTTTTTTCCTTTTAAAAGAAGTCACATCTGCAGTTTGATCATACTTTTCATAGAAATTTGACTGTGTATTATGCATATGTTCATGCTTAAAATCTTGTGTGCCATCCATGTTTTGTACAGTACAAATTCTATTGTTCTTAGCTACTTCACTTTCTGTACACTGAATTTTATTCATATTCTGGATGCTTGAAAGGAAAATATGTCAACGGAACAACAATGGCTGTCGATGGAGGGCTATGGCTAAGCAAACCGCGGCATCTACCAAAAGAGGCGGTGAAGCAAGCATCAAGAGCTGTAGAGAAGAGGTCAAGAGATGCACCAGTTGGCATTCCAAAAAGCAAGTTATAAATTTATAATGATTAAATTGAATGATCTCATTACCCAACAGTTATCTTGAAGTTCCATAAGTGTGTTGCTATGTATTTCAATCAACTTTTAGACTATCTTCGAATGGTTCTTTATTATAAAGAGTATTCATAAAAATAAGAGTCTAAAAACCTTTTTTATCTTTAAAATATAAATTAAAGAGTGAATTTAATTCTCAACATCGAAAGAGTCAAATTTCACTCTCAATCATAATTTTTATTAATAAACTATAACTTTCTGTGTATTTTATTTATTATTTTTCTTTCTTATTCAGTTTTTTTTTTTTTTAAATAAAGAGCATCTTCATTAAATTTAAAGAGTCTATTAGAGTTGAATAAAAATTATATTATTTATATTTAAAAATTAATGAAGATGCTCTTTATTTATAAGAAAGATACTCTTCAAAATAAAGAGCACCGTTGAAATGTTCTAATATGAGTATAATATCAATTTATATGAGACGACGAAAAAAAAAAAAAAACTGGAAGCAGCATTTTACTCCCCCAAAAATGCTATATCCACTGAAAAGTTGCACCGAAAAATTGCACCGAAACACGTGGAAGCCGCCACGTTGGATCGATTGAAAACAGACATAAATGGACGGCCGTCCAAATTAGCAGGACGGGCGTCCATTCCATATAATATGTTGGACGGGCGTCCATAGAGATGGACGACAGTCCTGCTAATTTGGACGGCCGTCCTGCTAATTTGGACGGCCGTCCATCTATATGGACTGACCGTCCCTAAATGATGAACGCAAGTCCTGCTAATTTGGATGGGTGTCCATCTATATGGACTGGCACGGCCGTCCAAATTAGAAGGACGGTCGTCCAAATTAGCAGGATGGTCGTCCAAATTTTAGGGACGTCCGTCCCCAGTTTGTAAAATTTTTTTATTATTAATTTTTTTTTTAAATATAATGTAAATATGGACGGTTGTCCCTAGTATATGGACTGGCGTCCATCTACTAGGGACGACCGTCCAAACTACATGGACGCCAGTCCATCTACTAGGGACGGCCGTCCAAAATACATGGACTGGCGTCCATATTTGTTAAATTTTTTTTTTTTATTAATAATAACGAATGGCTTGTCTAATACGCTTCATTTTTAAGCGCCAAATTTTTTTCTTCTCTTTTCCTTCGTCTCCGTCATTTGTTTTTCTTCTGTTCTTCGTCTGCACCATTTGGTTTTCTTAGCTTCTCCTTCTTGCGTGTTGTGATTCCTTGACGCCGGTTACTTCCTCAACGCACCAGCAGCAATATCTCGTCCAAGCACCAGCAGCAATATCTCGTTCTACAGAGATAACATTGAAACAAAAGTAAATATCAAAACTGCTAAAGCTGGATTTGTTTGTTAAGGTAAAGAATTTTGACTTATTTATATTCTATTTTAGATTGATATATGTTTGAATGGATTGAATACATGTTTTTTAGATTGAATATATGTTTGAATGGATTGAATACATGTTTGATAGATAATATTGTTGGTGACAGTTGTGAACTAGATTCGTGAACGTAAAAACTGGTATTAGTTGTGCATGAAATAACTGAATATGGAAGAGTCCAGTTTGCCTCGTTTCAATGAGTTGAGGTAAATTGTTTTAGAAACTTTTTTAAATATGGTGTATTGTATGTTTTATGATGGTTTACATTCTAATTTTATTTATTGTAAAACCATTGAATCGGAAAATGAAGTGATGAATTAGAAGATACGGGATGTGCAGAGGAAGAAGTGGAGCCTCATATGGAATGGGTTTTGATTCAGTTGATAGTTGGTGAAGTATTACAGAAGGTATGGGAATAAAATGGGTTTTGAAGCAATGATAGTACGTCAAAGAAAGGAGATGATGGGGAGATGGATACGTGACAGTGGCATGTTCTTGTTCTGGAAGAGGAAGTAAATGCAGAAATACCTTGAAAAACAACCTGTTGCAAAAACGATTGTAAGAGTGGATTAGTGCAACTTTGAATGGTGAAACAAATGGGAAATTAAGTCAGTTGTGCTTGAACAAACCATGATCTACAAGTCCGACGAAAAGAAGATATTTCAAAGTAAACCGAACGATACACCTTTTGTGAAAAGGAGGCTTGAAGTTAATGATCAGGCTGGGATTAGACCGTGTAAAAATTATCAGTCATGTTCAGTTGAGGCAGGAGGTGTAGAGAATTTGTCATTTCTACAAAAAGATTGTAGGAATTACATTGAAAAGTTAGAGGCTACGACTTGGAGTTGGAGATGCTTCGGCAGTGCTAGAGTATTTTATGAAAATGCAAAAGGAGAATTCCAATTTTGGTACATGATTGATGTAGATGAAGAGAGTCGATTGAGAATGTGCTATGGGTTGATGCTAGATGGAGGGCCGCATATAAAGATTTTGGTGATGTTGTGACCTTCGACACAACGTATCTGACGAACAAGTATGATATGCCATTTGCGGCTTTGTGGGGGTTGATCATCATGGACATTCGACATTGTTAGGTTGTGGGTTAATTCACATGAGGACACAGAGACATTTGTATGGCTTTTTCGTTCTTGGCTTAAATGCATGGATGTTGCTCCTAATGGAATTATCACTGATTAGATAAGGCCATGCGAATGCAATTGAGATGTTTTCCCTAGTACAAGACATAGGTGTGTTTGTGGCATATAATGAAGAAACTGCCTGAGAGGAAGAGGTATACGAATATGAAACTATAAAGTTTACGTTACAAAATATTGTGTATGATTCGTTGGCATGTGAAGAGTTCAAGAACGGTGGAACAAATTCATGATGTGTATAACCTTCATGAGAATGAATGGTTATCTGGATTGTATAAAGAAAGAGTATGTTGGGTGCCTGCATTCTTAAAGATACTTCTGGGCAGGTAGTGTCTACTACCCAACATAGTGAAAGTATGCATGTATTTTTCGATGGATATGTAAATTCCAAAACAACATTGAAACAATTTGTGGAACAATATGATAATGCATTGCGAGATAAAGTGGAAAAGGAGAGGGAGGCTGATTTTAGATATTTTAAGTCTTGGAACCATGCATAACGAATTACCCCATTGAGAACAATTTCAAAATGCATACACAACTGCAAAATTTAAAGAGTTTCAAGAGAGATTGCGGGAAGATTATTGTGAATTATCTTTTTCTGAAAAGTCCGATTCGTATGAGGAGTATCAGGTTTTAGAAGATATTTGGTTTGGAGATAGTAATCGGCGTGTTCCCTTTCTGGTTTACTTTGAAGAAATTTCATGTGATATTCGCTGCAATTGTCATTTGTTTGAGTTCAAAGGGATTATATGCAGACATGCCTTATGTGTTGATTCATAAAAGGGTTTCACACATTCCAGATAAGTACATTCTACGGCGTTGGAGGAAAAACATAAAAAGATGTCATACCAAAATCAAGGTAAGTTATAATAGGTGGAGCACAAACGTTGAAGGACAGCGTTTTGAGAAGTTGTCTAATCAATGTTGACAGTAGCTGATATGACATCAAACAATGAGGAAGACTGTAACATTGAGGAATTGATTACTGGAGTGAAAAATCAGTTGGAGCAGAAGAAAGATGGGGGGGGGGTGGGGGGGGGGGTGTTTTGTTAGAAGAGGGAGACAATCCTCAGAAAGAGGGGAATAGTCTAATTAATAGTCCACGGGTAGCTCGCAGCAAAGGTCGTCCTCCATGCAAAAGAAACAATCGAAGGTTGACGAAATTGTACGTAGGGCTAAAATAAAAAACTCCGAAAACAAAGACTTGGTATGAGTTATACACCCATTCTGACATGATATTGTTTTTTAAGATTATTTAGTATTTGAAGTTTATTAAATATTTACTGATTATTAATGTGTTATGCTACTTTATAGGGAAAGAATCATCAGCAGAGCGAGCCAACATTGCTGAAACTGTATTGGGAAACTCAAGTGTTGTCAAATGATATTTTTGCTACTCAGGTATGTGTTATGTATGTTGGATATTGTAAAAAACTTGAGTTTTCTATAACCGTGCTAAATTGTGGTTATTAACATTGACAGTTGTCCACTTCTGACATATTAGCGTAACAATCATCCCCCAATAATGTCACCTTTTTCTGCTTATCTCTCCCAACTTTTTAATCAATAACTGAGCTGAATTTACTTGCTTCCTGTTACTGCTGCTTCCATCAAACAATAATCCTTCACTGTCACATTTCCATTTGCTCTTTCCTGCCATTAAATGTGAATGTTAGAAATCTGTGAAAAACTCTCATGGCAGGATTTCTTAACTTCGAGATTTACACCGTGGATGATAAACCCTCTCCCAGAAACATCCGTCCAAGCTTGTCTGGAATCCCACGTTTTGGGTATGCTATCCAAACCTTCAAAATCAATCCCTATCCAGTTTGCTAAGTCCTGTGGCCTCACTACACAATTCTGATCTTTAATCTAAAAAACATTGTATACGGCGGTAAATCATCAGTACTGTCCCAAATTCCAAACTACTAAAAAACTCGTAAATCAAATGCTTATATCCGTCATATGTAATACTCGCCAACTGCTCCCATTTCAAATTACGGATCCAACCATTAATCTCATCACCTAAACCCAAACTACTTATAAATCCTTATCCAAACTTCTTCCAGACAAATATCTCTTTTCGTCATCTCTTTGTATTGCTTTTATGTTGCCTGTCTCGAAATTGGACTCTAGATGACGAGAGAGCCTGCATCCGGAGTGCTTGTTGTTTTTGCTCTTACCATTTTCTGCTTCCTTCAAAACCCTGCAAAAAACATATCCATAAGTACTATCACACACACATACAGCATAACCAGTATCCCACTTTTAACAGTATACTATCAAATTAATCCACATTCTTGGGATGAGTCATATTAAGAGCTGTTTGATTTCTGTATGTGTTTGAAGGGATTTCTTTGATGCATTTTATATTAAAATCCAGCCACCTTACCTGCATAATGTGGCCAAAAATGCAGTCAGAAAATGAATTGGAGGCTGGAATTACATGGTTATGGACTGCATTTTTTGCCCCAACTATGCAGGTAAAGGTGGCTGGGATTTTAAATTTAAAATCCCAGCCACTTTACCTCAAAATTGGCCAAAAATGCAGTCCAGAACATGTAAGTCCAGCCTCCAATTCATGGTTTGGACTGCATTTTTGCCCAAATTGTGCAGGTAAAGGTGGCTGGCATTTATATTTAAAATCCCAGCCCACTTTACCTGCATAAATGGGCAAAAATGCAGTCCAGAACCATGTAATTCCAGCCTCAATTCATGGTTCTGGACTGATGTTTGCCCAAATTATGCAGGTAAAGGTGGCTGGGATTTTATTTTGCCCAAATTATGCAGTCCAGAACCATGTAATTCCAGCCTCCAATTCATGCTTTTATTCAACAAAAAATGCAACCATAAATGCATATAAAACCAGACCACCACTACATGTAAATTCCGGTCGACATAAAAGTCATAAACACATGGAATCCAAGCCCTCATTGCATGCATCATATAAAACAATAACCAAAGAAATCCATTCAAATAAAACTCCATTAAAGCAAGATGAGATTTAAAAAATATCAAGTGCTGGAGCATCCAGTAAGAACTGTTCAAGTGGCTGTACGGATCACCAAAGGGATGAACAGAAAATTAATTACAAACAAAATGCATTAGTCAAGGAAATACAGCCATAGCCCCAGCCACAGCCACAGAACTTTTCTTTTCTTTATTAGTTATTATCACAATGAAGTTAGGAATTTGAGAGAAATAAGAGCGTATAATTAAACCAAGAAAAAGTAAGCGTTATGAGAACCAAAGTAAGTATTTCTATTATAAAATCTACATTAAACGTGCAATTCAAATCAACTCCAACTCAACTTATTAAACCTGCAGCTCAACTCAATCCACTTCAAATTGTACATTAAACTTTCAGCAAAATGCTTTATAATCCTGCATTAACCTGTAGTTCAAATCAACTTCAACTCATTCATTAAACCTGCTCATCAACCAATATTGAAGCACCAAATCTACAGCTCATCTCAAACCTGCAACAGCTAAATAATCTCCAACTTACTCAATCAGTTAGTAACAACAGCAAAAAAAAAAAAAAAAAAAAAAAAAAAAAAAAAAAAAAAAAAAAAAAAAAAAAAAACCGATGTTTTGCATTAAAGTGTCTACTGACAAAAAACATATGTTTAAGCCTGCATTGGTAGTTCAAGCTCCCAACTCTGATTGTTTATAACACTTGACAGTATTTTTGAGCTAATTTAATTGTATCATGCATAATATTGAAAAAAAAATTGAAAAACGAAAGTGTAAGCTTTTTCCAAGAGAGCAGATCAACAAACCAAAAACGCTCAAGAAGAGATCACACAACAACAAAAATGTAAGCTTTTCCAAGCCAAAAAACACTAAAAACGAACACTTCTATTTGCAATCACACAAAACCAATCCCACCAAATTGACTGGATTCTCTTTATCAAATCAACTCCATTCAACAAAATGTAAATCAACACATTCATCCAACAAAAAAAAATAAAAATAAAAAATTGAGAGAAAACGGAAGTATCTTATTACCGCGGCTGATTTGTTTTTTTGAGATGAAGAAGACCATGAACCAGAGCGCGCAGATGGGATGAAGAACCCGACGAACCAGAGCTCAGATGGAAGAAAAAAGAAGAAGACCACTACCCCTTTTTTTTCAAACGCTTTCCCAAAAAGTTTTAAATAAACCCTAAAACTTTTTAATTTCTTTTTTTTTTTATTTTAATTAGAGGTGGGACGGTCGTCCCATTCCTTAGGGACGGGCGTCCCTTAAGTATGGACGACCATCCATACTTAAGGGACGCCCGTCCCTAAGGAATGGACGGGCGCCCCTAAGGAATGGGACAACCGTCCAAATATATTTTTTTTAAATTTTTAAACAAAATTATGGACGGGCGTCCATTCTATACGGACGCCCGTCCACACATTAGGGACGCCAGTCCACAATTTGTGGACAAGCGTCCCAGATTTTTTTTAATTTTTTATATTTTAAGAACCGTCCAATATTAAAGGACGGGCGTCCATTAACATATGAACGCCCGTCCAATGTTTATAGACGGCCGTTCATGACCTATGAACGGCCGTCCCTAATTTTTTTTAATATTTTTTATTTTTATTTAGCAATGGACGGGCGTCCTCTAAATCAAGACGCTCGTCCGTAGTTAATGGACCCCGTCCATATAATATGGATGGGGGTCCATATGAGTGAACGGCCGTCCATATGTTATGGACGACCGTTCATTAGATCAAATTTAATAACGCCAAAACACGTTAGATGGTTGAGTCAGCACACACGTCAGCCAGTACAAAATTTTGGTGTAAAAACACCGGTGTCTGTAGCATTGCTGTTTACTCCCCTATCTCTTCTCCCTACCATCAGATGGCAATACAGAAATGAATATGCAAGAAATTTTTATCAACATTTGCCTCAATTTGAGAGCATAAATATGAATTATAGAAATGAAAAACAATTGTGAACAACCAACAATGGGTTGGCCGAGTAGTAACAGCTTGGGTTCAAGGGGGTTTGCTTCTCCTGTGGTCTCAGGTTTAAATTACAAGAACAGTTGCTAATATTGTTAGCCACAAACCGTAAGGCTTACCCTATTTTGGAGGTCTTGTTCGAGGTCATAGAACTAATCAAAGTATGCATAAACTGACCAAGCGGTTGTTAATATTGTTGGCCACGGACTAATTGGTGACAAATAAGTGAAGCAGAAACTGCTTGGAGATACATCAAGATACAGAGAAATTACAAACTTTCAAGGCAGCCGTGATTCACTGGCAATAACTTACAAAAACATTGCAAAACCGGCAGACCTAATCCACCATATTCACAATCTGACAATACCAACCAAGAACTCAATAAACATGCCATAGAATACAATGAATTTCAACATGCCTTCATAACCCTACCATGCAGACATGTATTTTGGATACTTCGATGATTTAAATAAATGACTCAGGAAAGAAAGCAAAAGCACACTATGAAGCAAAGCATTCCCATAAAGCAATCTAATATGGTCTTCATAGTTTTGGTTCAGAGATTGACAGGAAGTCAACCATTCAAAAGCCAAGTGATCACCACAAACCCATTGACATCAACTAAAATACTTCACATAATCAACACGAGAGCAGAAGTGAGAAAATCAAAAGAGTATGCATCTACAGGCATTATTTCTAAAGGGTATATCATTTGTCTAACTTTTCAATGAGTATGCACACAAGTCAGTGCTTCCAACAGCTTAACCTTTTGGGGAAGAGCTAAATAACAGTGTTTAAATTCTCTCACACTTCTCATGTTCATAAGAAAATTAAGTATAGAAGTTTGTATGTAAATACATACACACATGGACACAAATATGGATCCAAACACCTGCCCAACTTTCCCTGCATTATAATTTAAACTGATTGAATGAAAGATCAGAAATCAAGATCTCTTGTTCAACCTAAATATGATATCATATTGAGTGGATACTGATCCCCAAAGCTAAAACTTAAAAGAAAGGGTTCCAAATTAGTATCTAAATTGTAAAAGATGAGGCTCCATGAAATAAACCAAATAGTTTATACAGCCAAAACTTCATCAAATTCATTATAAAGTCACTCTCAATTGTGCCGGCCTGTCAAAGAGTCCACCAATAAAGAACTGTTTATCCTTTCCTTTCACATAACCAAATAAAAAAGAGTCAAGAAAAGGAGAGAAGTAAACAATTTGTCTTTACTCATAAAATAAGCATATAAAGGCAGAATTTCTCAACCACAGGTCTAAGTTGTCGATGAGTAGGCTTCATGAAGACAAACCAAACAAGTTATAAAATTGAAGCTTCTTCATGTCCATACTCAAAGTAACTACATGATCAGCCATATCAAAGAGCTCATCAATTAAGAATTATAAATCATAGTCTCACACATCAAAACATGAAGAGTCAACATCAGGAAAGAACCGAACAATATATCTTGACTCATTAAACAACGCCTCTTAAAACACTACTTCTAGCATGGCTCTATCTTGCCAACAAAACAATTAAGTTAAAGCTTCTTCAAATTTGTATTCAAAATGAATACATATGCACAGCCATATCAGAGAGCCCATCTATTATGAATTATACATCCTTACCTGTCACAGAGCCAAACAAGAGCCCTAGGATAGATTTTTTATCCTTTTGGCAACTCAAGACTTTCTTATTATGGCACCTTAAAGAACCAGCAACCCTTATACCTATTTTCTCTCTTTGTTTGAGCACATATTTCATTTCTAAAATATATATGACTCATTATAAACTGAAAGCTCCTGTATGCAGTATGCCAAAGATCTATGAAAATCCACAATACAATAATCAGATATTGCATAGTCATTATAAACAAAAAACAATTCTATAACTTATCACAACATAGAAGCTAACTCTAAGAAAAATACAACAACTAAAAACAAGGACTTCCACAAATTTTTATTGCAGAAAGAAACAAAAACAAGAGTATCAAATACAGCAGTAAAAATCTACAAATCCTTTGATATAAAACAAATTTGAAACACTAACATACACAATGACCTACACTTACAAATGATCCCAATCATTCTGAATGCCATTTCAAACCAATTCAAATATCCAAGTTCTCCATCTGAATGCTGCTCTTGAGAGGCACATACTCACCAAGATACCCACCAAGATGGTCATGTAAAGCGCTCTTATCAATCCCTTCATGGTGATGACTCTTGCATACATAATAAAACACACTTTGCACTAACAGCCCCACAAGATTTACAATCACCAACACCCCAACCAAGAACCCACCCACAACAATCCTCACAAAAACTCCATGTTTTTCTCCTCCATGCACCACAACAGCTCCAAAAACAATAGCAATCGCAAAACAAATCGTCAAATAACCAAACACAAGGAGCCCAGCCATCCAAGTCTTCCCCTTTAACAACTCATAGCTCTTCTTCATGGCTGCAAATCCATAAACCGGTTCTAGAACCGACACCACACTCGCCAAATGCCACAAGGCGGTTATATAAACATGAACCCCCAAGAACAACACAAAAATCGCGATTATAGAGATAAACACCAAGAAGGGATTTTGGGTGTCAATTGCAATAATAAAAACTACAAAGAACCCAACGAACACTGCATTGTAAGCAATCATCAGAAAAGTTACCCACAAGAAAGTGATGAACAAGCGCTTAAAAACTTTGGGTATGGCCGAGATTGTGCTGGAAAAAGACACCGCCTTCGAAGTGTAAAGAGACGCGACGGTGAAGACAACGGCGGCGGTGGAGAGAAGCGAGAAGGCAAAGAGGAAAATAAGGTAACAGAATTGGAAGACCAAGAGCCGGGTCCATTGGTGGCGGGTTTGGACCGGGTCGTAAGACGGGTGATCTTCGATTTGATTCAAAATCGGATGCGTGAACAAAGAATGAGCTAAAATGGCGAACGAGAGAGGGAAAATCAACGTGAGAGTGATGAGATAGAAGGCTTTGGGGGCTCGCCGGGGGATTGAGACTGACTCGCGCAAGATGTCAGGGATGGTAAAGAACTGTAGCTCTTCCGGGGCCAGATCCATGGTGTTAAAAGTAAACAAAAAAGAATCGAACCTTTGGGACGCGGTAGGTTGAAGAAAGGGGAAATAATGGTGGGAAAGTTGTTGAATTTTTCTGGTTGTTTGAGTTTTGGGCACCGACTTGAGATAAAGGACGAAGAAATAGATGGGGGATGTTCGGGGGTGAAAGTGCAAGAAACTAAAAGTTTAAGAGGTTGACGAAGAAGGCGATGATGGTGGCCAAATTGACTAAAAATTAATTTTGATTTTGGGGGCACCGACTTGAGATTAAGGATTAATTAATTTTGATTAGTGAGATTAATTAAGTTAATGGATGAGATATATTTTATTTTTTTTAATTAAGAGTAATTTATTTATTTATGAGTTAAAATTAGAAATTAATTAATGATTAAAATGTATTAGGAAGAAATTAATTATATGGGGGAGGTAGATTTATTAATGATTTACATTGACGATAGTGTTTGATTAATGAGGTTAACTAAGTTAATGAATGAGATAGATTTTGTTTTGGTTTAATTAAGAGTGATTTATTTTTATTTATTGAGTGAAAATTATAAATTAATTAGTGATCTAATCATTAAAATGGATTAGGAAGTAATTAATTAATTAATTATCTGGTGGTGGTGGAGGACTTATTTACAGTTTACATAAATGGAGTCTTTTTTTTTTTTTAAAATAAAAATATTGAGGGAAATAAGTGCATAAATCAATAAAAATTATGTCCATGTGTGTGATCTACGTGTACAAAGTGACTAGATGAATGTCTATGTATACATTTGTTGGAGACTTTCTCCACGTTGAAACTTTAAAAGTATTTACCAAATTAATTTTTTTGCCAAATAAATAAATAATACGACGTTTTCTACTAATTATATTTGGACATTTGGTAATAATTATACATCATGAATCATATAATCATATAATTTATCTATAACATTAAAAGCCAAACGTATCATTTGGGACGTAAAAATTAATATACAAATTTAAGTAAAAAAAAAAAATCTCATTAGAACTGTCATAAATAAGATTGTACATTCTTTTTGTCACTAAAAATTGACACACAAGAGTTGGATCATCTATATATCAATTAACTCTTATTAAAAGAGAGTTGAGGTAGTACACGTTTTTTTTAATGAAAATCAAGATATTCATAAAAAAGATCGATATTAAACTTAAGATATATATATATTATTGAAATAATAAATACCATGTAAAATATACAAGATTATTACTATAAAAATAAATATAGTGCATTGTACAAACATTGATGGGTCCGTTTGGTTTATTATTTTGGATATGATTTTTGAAATAATATTAGGTAATTGAATAGGGTGATTATTATGAGGTAAAATTTAAAAATTAATTAAAAAAAACCCCTAGGTTTGCTAATTTAACTAAACACCTCAATATATAAATTTTTTGTAAAATGACAAAAACACCCCCACTCACCCACAGTGCCAGATTTCTGCCACCACCACCGGAATCTGGTCTGAATCTGACTTTACAGCACAGACCGGTTGGATCTGGCCGGTTATACGTTGATCTGGCTTTTTCTGGCCAGATCCACCACGGATTTGGCCGGAAAAGGCCAGATCTGGCTGTCGCTGAAGGCTAGATCGGCGAATTAACGATCAGTTCTGATTGTTTGTAGGCCGACGGTGGTTGCCAGAATCTGGCAACTATGGGTGGGTGGGGGTGTTTTTATTAGTTTTTAAACTTTTTTCTGGGGGTGTTTAATTAAATTAATAAACTTAAGAGGTCTGAAAATAATTAAAAAAATATAATAGTATTTCTTAAATAATTAAACAAACAATTATTTTGAGAATAGAATGAGAATAGGGTATGAAATAATAATCCAAACGCATCCGATAATATTTGATTATTTTCAATTTCATAATATAAATAATTGGCTTTTATGTTTGTAGTTGGTGAGAATTTTAAGGACAAGTTTGTTTGGCGCAAGAGAATATTTGATAATTTTAGAAATTTTAGAAAAAGGGTATGGTCTAGTTTTTGAAATAAAATAATTTCTTTTATAATTAAATTATTAAATTTCAATTATTTTATATAATGTTTTTTTAAAAGCAGTCTTTTTTTAATTAAATTATAACTTCATAATCACTTTGCTAAAGCATATTGATTATTATTATCTTGGTATGGACGCATTTAAGAATTCATATGGGGGCTTTAATTGTTATCTAATTTTGTTAGAAACACGCAATGTAGAAAGCTTATACAACTCAACAAGAAAAGCACTTTTTTTTTTCCTGAAAATAATAATCGAAGATCACAGGCAAGCTAGATTCAACTTCTTTTTTTTTCTATTAAAAGCTTGCCCATTTCTAGATAATGAATTAATTTGCGCCTAACTAGATCTTGAAGGAGCTCACATGGATGCTTTCACACATTTTCTAGGCCAAATTAATGACCTTTATTTGTCTTTTGAGTGTATTCACTTTTTTTTTTTTTTAAACTAATTAAGGTGTTTGAACCAGTTTACGTGTACTTCAACTAATCATCAAAGGAGACGAACGCAACAACTGTTGAAAAAGATTCTCACAACTCAAACACAAAATTAAAGCAAACAACTAAAAATAAAGCAAACAAAATACAAGAATTTTAAAGTGGTTCAGCCTACGTCCACTATCTATTCAAACAATCCATTAAGCAAAAACTTACAACTATGCAATTTTAGAAGAGAAAAATTACAAACTCCTTACACTATCCCAAAAAACCCAATTACACCTTTATTAACAGTCCACAATGACTATTCTTCTGGTGTTTATTTTACACTTTTTGAAATACTTTAAAGCCCAATTTACTAGTCTATTTAAAGAGAAGAGTCCATTTGCAACGCTCATTCCCAAGCAATATGAGATTCAAGGCACAATCACACCAATTCATTCCTTGACTTGAATCCCCAAACATCATATTAGCATTTGAAAATTTACTCACTTGACAGTCTTCTTTTCTTTCACAACAGGGACTTGAACAACTTTATTTCTTGATTTCTTAAGACATACACCTTCATTAAGCAAATATAGTTGTTTTTAATTCCTTTTGCCTTGTAAAATCAGAACATCATCTTTATAAACTTCGCATTCATCTCTTTGACTAAAGTAGGTATATCCACGAGAAGCCAACTCATCCAAAGAAATCAAATTGTTACTACAACTCGGTATATACCTTACATGCGAAGCTTCTTGACAACATCATTGTGAAGCTTGAGACGAACGCTATCAACATCTTCAATCTTCACTTTCTCGTTATTACCGACAACAATATTTCCATAATTTCCATCTTCTTTCAATTTAACAAAATAATCTTTATCATTACAAACATGTATAGATGCGGTAGAATCTAAAACCCAACCTTTTTCACCCTTTGAAATTTGAGTTTCATCTTGACATATTACTAAAATTTCACCTTCATTATTAGCAACCCAAGCATCATCCTTCGAATCCTTCATCTGTTGAACCTTTTTGAAAGCAAGCATGTCCTTCCTTAATTTCTTGTAGGGTGGTTGGATATGTCCCTTCTCTCTACAATAATAACACTCTTTATTACTACAATTTCTGACTTTTGATTTATCACCTCTCTCTTGAGTCCTCCCTTGATTAGAACCTTCTGCAATTGCTAGATCTCCTGTAAGTGATGAGTTCTCTGATCCTATAAACCTTTAATTCTCATGCAATAAGACAATCACATCATCTAATTTTAAAGTAGATCTGCCTATCAACAAAGTTTGAACTAAAGGTCTATAATATTTAGGCAAAGATGACAACAATATCAATGTCTTTTCTTCATCCTTTAACTCATCAGAAATAGCTAACAATCGAGATACTAGCCTATTAAATTCATTTAAATGATCATGGAGACTCGTACCTTCATCCATCTTCAGAGAGTACAAATTCATCTTCAAACACAGTCTGTTAGTCAACGATTTCGACGCATAAATACCCTCTAATTTTTCCCACAAACCCTTTGGTGTAGACTCAGTCAGCATGTTGTACTTTATCTATGGAGCTAAGGCCAATCTAATTGTACTGATAGCTCTCCTCTGAATTTTATTCCATTCTTTATCAGACATCTTTTCTAGCTTACTCTCTTCTAATGCTTGATCAAGATCTTGTTGTACCAAAAGGTCTTGTATCATATTTGCCATAACATAAAATTAATTTTACCATCAAATAAATGAACCTTAAACTTGGACATACCTCTAGAAAATTTGAGATGCTTGACAGTCGCTGATCTACTCTTAAATCCAACCTCCTCTCGAGCTTGCCTTCTCCCAGATCACGAACCATGGGCTTTGATACCACTTGTTGAAAAAGATTCACATAACTCAAACGCAAAATTAAAGCAAGCAACTAAAAATAAAACAAACCAAGCATAAGAATTTTAAAGTGGTTTGGCCCAATCAATTTAGCCTACGTCCACTATTCACTCAAACAATCCACTAAACAAAAGCTTACAACTATGTAATTTCTAGAAGAGAAAAATTACAAATTCCTTACATTATCCCCAAAAGCCCAATTATAACATTAATAATAGCCCACAATGACTATGGCTTCGTTTGGTTGGATTTTGGGAATACTACTTTTAGTATTCCCAAAAAAGTTAAACAGTAAAATACCAAAAAACTAACAATATTATTCAACTTTATTAAACATTTTTTAAACCCCCTAAATTTGTTAATTCAATTAAATACCCCTAAATATTTTTAATGTTTTTGTTACGGCGACTCCGGCCACCCTCCGGCGGTGGTGGCCGGCTGTCCGTATTTGAGGGTGGATTGGGGGTGTTTTTGTTAACTTTTAATGNTTCAACTAATTATCAAAGGAGACTAACGCAATAACCGTTGAAAAAGATTCCCACAACTCAAACTTAAAATTAAAGCAAACAACTAAAAATAAAGCAAACCAAACACAATAATTTTAAATTGGTTCGGCGTAATCAATTTAGCCTACGTCTACTATCCACTTAAATAATCTACTAAGCAAAAGCTTACAATTATGTAATTTTAGAAGAGAAAAATTACAAACTCATTACACTATCCCAAAAAGCTCAATTACACCCTTACTAACAGCCCACAATAACTATTCTTCTAGTGTCTATTTTACACTTTTTGAGATACTTTAAAAACCTAATTTACTAATTTATTTAAAGGGGAGTGTTCCTTTGCAACGCTCATTCCCAAGCAATATGGGATTCAAGGCATAATCACAACAATTCCTTCCTTGACTTGAATCCCCAAACATCATATTAGCATTTGAAAATTTACTCGCTTGACAGTCTTCTTTTCTTTCACAACTAGAACTTGAATAACTTTATTTCTTGATTTCTTAAGACACACACCTTCATTAAGCAAATATAGTTGTTTTTCATTCTTTTTGCCTTGTAAAATCAGAACATCATCTTTATACACTTCGTATCCATCTCTTTAACTAATGTAGCTATATCCACGAGAAGCCAACTCATCCAAAGAAATCAAATTGTGACTACAACTCGGTACATACCTCACATGACGAAGCTTCTTGACAACACCATTGTGAAGCTTGAGACGAACGCTACCAACGCCTTCAATCTTCACTTTCTCGTTATTATCGACAACAATATTTCCATAATTTCCATCTTCTTTCAATTCAACAAAACAATCTTTATCATTACAAACATGTATAGATGCAGCAGAATCTAAAACCCAACATTTTTCACCTTTGAAATTTGAGTTTCATCTTGACATGTTACTAAAATTTCACCTTCATTATTAGCAACCCAAGCATCATCCTTCGAATCCTTCATCTATTGAACTTTCTTGAAAGCAAGCATATCCTCCCTTAATTTCTTACAGCGTGGTTGGATATGTCATTTCTCTCCACAATAATAACACTCCGTACTACTGTAATCTCTGACTTTTGATTTATCACCTCTCTCTTGAGTCCCCCTTGATTAGAACCTTCTGTAACTACTGGATCTCTTCTAAGTGATGAGTTCTCTGATCCTATAAACCTTTAATTCTCATGCAATAAGACAATCACATCATCTTATTTTAAAGTAGATATGTCTACCAACAAAGTTTGAACTAAAGGTCTATAATATTTAGGCAAAGATGACAATAATATCAATGCCTTTTCTTCATCCTTTAACTTATCAGAAATAGCTAACAATTGAGATACTAGCCTATTAAATTCATTTAAATGATCATGGAGACTTGTACCTTCATCCATCTTCAGAGAGTACAAATTCATCTTCAAACACAGTCTGTTAGTCAACGATTTCGACGCATAAATACCCTTTAATTTTTCCCACAAACCCTTTGGTGTAGACTCAGTTAGTATATTGTACTTTATCTCTGGAGCTAAGGCCAATCCAATTGTACTGACAACTCTCCTCTGAATTTTATTCCATTCTTTATCAGACATCTTTTCTAGCTCACTCTCTTCTAATGCTTGATCAAGACCTTATTGTACCAAAAGGTCTTGTATCATACTTTACCATAACATAAAATTAATTTTACCATCAAATAAATGAACCTTAAACTTAGACATACCTCTAGAAAATTTGAGATGCTTGACAGTCGCTGATCTACTCTTAAATCCAACCTCCTCTCGAGCTTGTCTTTTCCTTGCTTGCCTTCTCCCAGATCACAAACCATGGGCTTTGATACCACTTGTTGAAAAAGATTCACACAACTCAAATGCAAAATTAAAGCAAGCAACTAAAAATAAAACAAACCAAGCATAAGAATTTTAAAGTGGTTTGGCCCAACCAATTTAGCCTACATCTACTATTCACTCAAACAATCCACTAAACAAAAGCTTACAATTATGTAATTTCTAGAAGAGAAAAAATGCAAACTCCTTACATTATCCCAAAAAGCCCAATTATAACATTAATAATAGCTCACAATGACTATTCTTTTGATGTCTATTTTACACTTTTTGAGATGCTTTAAAAGCCTAATCTACTAGTCTATTTAAAGGGGAGAGTCCCCTTACAACTCTCATTCCCAAGCAATATGGGATTCAAGGCACAATCCCAACAACAACCTCTCGCCATGGTCCTCTATTTAAATCGCGGATGTTCAGATAAAGAATTGAACATGAGACCATGCGTATGTCCAACTATCCTCAATTCGCCCTAAGCATCTAAGTTACCCATTGATGAGTGATTTATTACATGTTTGCTAATATACAATTTCGATCTGTTGACAGATGTCAATTAGTGATGTGCACCGTTGGAGTGTTCAAATACAAGTTTAGGGTGTAATAAGTAGTGAGGATGAATGCTTCGACGATCAATGCATGTTGATATATCCTTGATTTGATGAATATTCGACTTCTTAATTTAATTAAGGTCCAATCTCCTATGGAATCTCATGTTTTTCTAATTCAAAAGAGCTCGATGAGTGGTTCTCTGTCTTTTACAGAACAAGTTATAAGGAGAGTGAACGAGGGGTTTATCAATGTAGAGAATCCAATCTATATAAAAAGAGGAAAGAAGAGAGGCAATATAAAAATTATTAAGACAGTTCAATTAAGTAAATCAAGAAACTATTTATGAAGGTGTAGGATTTTCGGTCCCAACATGAAAATACTATACCGTTATAAGGTCAGATTTTACCATTAGATTAATTGAGTTAGCTATTGCTATTCAGTACAGAATTCATCGTGGTGAATGTCAAGAACTTAAATTGGACGATAATGATAGAATTCCATGAACCAAACATGACCTATATATATATATATACTGCAAAGAAAGAATTATATAATTAAGCTTCATTTATATGTCTTTATATATACCGTATTTTTCTTTTTCCTCTCTTTGTTTTTGTGTTCTCTCTATTCTTTCACATCATAGTTTCAACTCTCTCCCTTTGTCGGCAAACCCTTTTTGATTAGGGTCAAGTTATTAATGGGGAACAACCTTTAATTTTTGGTAGAAAATTCTCTTCGAATGTCTGCAAAAAGACCTTTCAATTATATAAATTTGGTCAATGGGTTGCAATTGACGTGAAACTGCCTCAAGTTTTTGGCAAATTTAAGCTGACATATGAAGTTTCTCATCTTATACATAAATATATATAAAATCAGGGTTATCATTTAGATAAGATAGAGATTCACATGATATATATTATTTCTGTCAATGGTAATTGTGTTAGGGTTTTCATCAATGGTATGAAAATATCAAAATTCTTTTCCAGTCAAAATGCAGGTTTATTCTTTTTATCATGAGGCAATTTCTTCGAAGGATATAAGTCTGAGATATTTTGATGTTGACTCAGGAAACATAATTAGGGTTCGAGCTGGTTTACTATTAATTTGCAGAATTGAAGACAATTTTACTATTTACTACACGTATTTTTCCGTTTCTTTTGTTGCGTTATATTTTTAGCAAAGGTTACAGAAATCTCGAGGGATTTTATGTGTAGAAATATCGATTTTAATTGGTGAATATATAAAGGGGACTTGCAACAGTTTGTTAATTACTTATCATTTGATAATTAATCTCAAAGGTATATATATTATTTAACTACTAATAGTTTTATATGTCTCTTGATATATTAACGCTTCGATCAACCAATGAGATTTAGGAAGAAGTTAAAGAAGTAAATGGTGTTTCGAGGTAACTATAAATTGCAGAAAGTCGTTGAACAGATGAATATCTGCGAGTCAAAAGATGAAATGAACAAGTTGAATGAAAGAAAAAGAGCTAGTATAGTGCTTAATGAGTAAGGCATTAGCATGGTGAAACTTGACAGGCACTAACACGGATTCATAATGGTGCACTTTGTTTGTTCATTAAAAGGGATTCCATTCTGGGTTACTCTGGTTTTCGCTTTCAAAAGCTTGAACCTTTCCTAATTCGGCAAATTTCAAAAGCAGAGAGTGGTTAACAGTCAAAACATTAGAGATCAGATCATGATCATATCTCCTTTTCAGATTATTGTTCCTTCTTCCATTATTGATCTCTGAAGTTATTATTATCATCTTTAAGGTACAGATTTGACCTTCGTAGAGAAGTTGTTATAGTCCAATTATATGTGCTTAACCATGGCCACTGATGATGGGCCACAACAATCACCACCGTTGTTGATCCTTTGTTCTTGATCATGATCATCAACTTTCACATACAAAGACTAATAAGAGTTAATTACATGCTGAGGGTTCATGGAAATTTATTAAGGGATTTATTATATACATTATTTATCGATATACTAGTGTTAGTGAATTTGTAATCGTCATTCGGCGATATGAATTAAAGTAACACATACACTATAAGAAAAATGACTCGAACACGAATTGAACTCGTCGTTAAAACTTTTTTTTCCGACGAAAAAACACTTCATTGCCCTTCCGTTCCCAAAATCAATCGTAGTTCGAGATGAAAAAAATAAGCGAATAGGAAGTAAAACATATATAGGTAAACATTAAAGTACAATTGTGGGGTGTACTTAAACTGAACCAATTTGAATACAGAAAGGTAGCTCAAAGGCAATTGGCACATAATTACTGAGTCGTCTGAGTACATGCATGCAATTAAAGGCCCTTTGGTAAATTTTCTTAAATGGAAGGACACCAGGAAGTATACAATATTCCTATATATATATATATATATGTATAACCTCTCTTTAGAAACATCACTTCAAGCAAATTTCCATACAACAAGCAAAGAAGATCAAGAATTAATTAAAGAGGTATCACTTTTCTGCATTCTTTTGCTTCTCTCCCACTTATTATTAGGGTTTTTAGTAACCCAGTTTCCATTTTTCATCTTCTCATGAGTTCTTCCTTCCTTATAGTACTTCTTCAACATTAATTATTCGTGTCATGAATTTTGCAGTTTTCAGAATTTAAAGCGGTGTAAATTAAATGGGACGGGGAAAGATAGCCATCACCAAGATTGAGAACCGAACGAACCGGCAAGTTACTTTCTCAAAACGCCGCGTTGGGCTCCTCAAGAAGACGAATGAACTCTCTGTGCTTTGCGATGCTCAGATAGGGCTCATCATCTTCTCCAGCACCGGAAAATTGTTTGAGTATTGTAGTGAAAGTATCAGGTCAAACCCATCTTTCACCTTCCTTTTCATCTTTATTTATTTCCTCTATAATTATATTTCTCTTTCTTTTGCTTCAAAAGTAAGGTTCTTCTTCTTCTTCTTCTTCTTCTTCTTCTTCTTTGCCGGTCATCAATTAATTTTCTGTGTTTTTTTCCATTTTGATTTGTAATTTTTCTCTTCATGGCTTGGTCAGGTCTTCCTTCTTTCGCTGATAATGATTATGGTGTGAGAAATTAACAATTTATAATTATAAAAGGATGAAATAATCATTAACTAGTTTTAATTCTTTGAAAATTAACTCAAATAAATCGTCTTTTAAACTTAAATTGAAGCAGCATGGAGCACCTCATTAATTATTTTTCTGCTTTTTCTTACATTTGATTTGTAATTTTTCTCTTCATAGCACGATAATGTCTTGCTATTTTCATGGAAATGATCGATTTACGATGCAGAAAGAAAATTTCAGTTGAAAAACAATTAATTTGCAATGCTTATTCTGAATCATTTACAGTCAATTATAGCATGATCAGCAATTAATTATTTGGTATATTTAAGGATGGAATAATATTTTATTAGCAAAGAATTACTCTTCTGGGTAATTAATGTTTTCATGACTGAATTAGTTTTAATTCTCTGAAATTTAAATCAAAATTTGGACATAAATTTGAAGCAGCATGGAGCAACTCATTCGAAGGTATCAGCTGGCCAAAGGAATGAGAATTCCAGAGACCATTAATCACGATGTGGTAAACCCCTTTTATTCAAATTATTTGTGGCTATTTTATAATTATATGGCATATATAATTAATTAAAGTTTGGATTTTTAGTTTAATTTTGACTTCAAATTGCAGAGCCAAATTCATAATGAATTAAGAAGAATGAGGAAGGAAACCCAGAATCTTCAACTGAGTCTCCAACGCTACACTTGCGATGACTTGAGTTCTGTGAATTATCAAGAACTGGCTGAACTTGAACACCAACTAGAACACTCAGTTATCAAAGTTCGAGCCAGAAAGGTTTTTCTTCTTTAATTCATTTAATTTCTTTACATAATTAATTCAGATATAGACTCTTCTAATTTATCAAAAACTACTGATTATTGGGCATACAGTTTGAGCTCTTACAGCAGCAGGCAGATGATCTGAGGACGAAGGTGACTCTACAATTATATATTCTCCTTATAAAAATATGAATTTATTGGATCCCTAATTTGTAGTTGATTTTAATTTATTGTTGATCATGTCTAGGGGAGAATGTTGGAGGAGGAAAACGAGCAAATCTACGGTCTGGTAAGTGTTCGATCAAGACTAATGAACAAACTATTAATTTGATATTATAATTTAGATTTTTGAGAGATCAGGAACATGAAATGGTTTGATTTGATTCTGTGTTATAGATTAAGGATCATGAGGCAGCTGCATGGCAGCAACAGCAAGCTCAGGCACAGGTAGCTGCAACGTTAACAATGGCGACAAAAATGGAAGAGCCTCGACAAGTGCTCGAACAATTCCCGTTTGCAGGCGAAGCGCAGCCCCGTGGTGTTCTTGAGCTGGCCATTACAGATTGTCAGCCGTATCGCCTTCAGCCTCTTCAGCCAAATCTTCAAGACTTCAATCTTCACTGCCCCAACTATGGTAATTATAAAATCAAATTCCATTATTATATATAGAACTCTTAATTGGCAATGAAAGAACATCATGAAATTTTGGTATGTGTTTTATTTGCAGAATGAGGATTGAACTGGATTCAGATTATGCAGGAAGAAGAAAATGGGATTCATATAAATGAAGACTTTAATTTTATTACTGTAAACAGCTTATTATATATGATTTTAGTGTGTGTTTTGAACTCTGATACTCCTATATATATACATGACAAATAATTTGTTTTATTTGAGGGATTATCTACAGTCACATTGCTACTAACCAGATAAATGTTAATTATGTTGAGAGCAAAATATTTTACTCAAAGCAAACCCACCTAGATTATCATCAATATAAAATACCTAATTAAAATAAATATAAATTTTATTTATCTTTGAATAAATTTAAAGATGGTTATATTCCACATAGATTTACAATTTACTTTATGATTTGAATATTTGATTGAACATTATACGTGATTATATATGAAGAATATAGTACCTGCATAACATAAAAATCAATTTGATACTGTTAGATTTACAATTTACTTTATGATTTGAATATTTGATTGAACATTATACGTGATTATATATGAAGAATATAGTACCTGCATAACATAAAAATCAATTTGATACTGTTTTATTTACAATTTACTTTATGATTTGAATATTTGATTGAACATTATACGTGATTATATATGAAGAATATAGTACCTGCATAACATAAAAATCAATTTGATACTGTTTTATTAGTGAATACACATATATGTAATTCATCTAAGATATAATTTATGATAAATTAGGTACCATCATCCCAAACAAACATGGTTCTGATACTATATAAAAGTGAGTTCGGATAAAACTCACTTCTTAAAGCTAACAGTCTATCAAAATGCGATGATGAAACAAATATAATTTCTAACAATTAAAAATTAAAATCTTTCTGTATTTTTTAATATTGAAGATATGTTTAGTAAATATATCACCATCATTTATAAATTATCACAGCTCTCAAGATTGTATCGAAAACTATATTTTAAAAACTTATATAAACTCATTTAAAAGAAATAAAAAACGTTTTTTCTAATCTTTGTATTACTTATTTTAAAAAAAAATATTTTTATTTAAATTCTAATTTACCAAATCTTATACAACAAAAAAAAAAAATGTCTGAATTCCTACAAAAAAAACAAGGCGGGTACCCAACTGAAAAACCGGGGCCCTGGCCCAAGACATAGTTGGCCTGTCTCGTTTAAATCTTCTAAGTTCAAACCCGAGTTTACAGTTTCTCTTGCTAGTTTCTCTTTGCCTCCGAGGAGGAAGACTGTCACACACATTTGCAGAGAAGAAGATCGAACTCCAGGTGAGTCCCGCACTGATCTCAGCGGTTTAACTTATCTCTGCTGCAATCTCCGCCATCGATTTATTCATGTTTTTCACTCAGATCTCTATTGAAATTATAGATGTTCGATTTTCACCGTAGTTTAATTTTGTTTTGGTATTAGATCTCAGATCAGAGGATTTCAATTTTTTTGTAATTTGCTTTTCATTTCCTACATTTTCTCGTTAACCAAACGGAGGCTTTAATTTTGATTTGTATTATGTGGATCAATGAGATCTTAGTGGAGTTGGATCGGATCTCGAGTTATGAAATTGAATTGTGGAAATGTTAGATTTGTTGAATCATTGAATGTAGTGTAGAGATATTAGATTTATTGTTCATTTGGTTGTTTTACTTGGTTTAATTTGATTTTTCAGGTTCTCTCATCGTGGTTGTTGATTCTGCGTAAGCAAAAATGGTAATTTTTTTCATCATTTTTAATGAAATGAAGTGATTTTATGAAATTTAAATGAATTTAGATGTTGCATATTGTTGTTCTTTACGCAGTTCATTAGTTTTTGAGGCTAATAAGATTTTTCTTTTAACGTACTATTATTGCAAGTTTAGGCTTAGCTTCGTTTTGGTCTGTCTCGGATCAGTATATGTGAATTACAATTGTATGGTTAAATCATAATATGGTAGGCCTGCAAGACTAGAAGACAGGTTTTAGAGAGTATGTGTATTCTAGAAGTGCTCCTAATCTGCTGATATTTATCATTGTAATATGGATTTTATATCATCAATGAATTATTTTTCTTGTTCTGTCCACATATTGAATAGTATCTTTCTATCCCTAAAGTTTTTGCTGGGCTGTACCAGTGTTTTTTTTTTTCAAACATATCTCTTGGTACAAGGTTTTTTTAAGTTCGTGACTAGGTTACTTGAAAAAGAGTTTAAATTGGTTTATCATGTGAACCAAAACTGCTTACGATGACAGAAAGTTTAGAATTTATAAGTAAACTTATTGGAGGTGATTTTAGAGTATTCTGTTATCTTCTTTGCGCATAAAGTAGTTTGGTGAGGGAGTGAATCGCCTGAACAATCAATATTCTCATCATATTGAGTGAGAAAGTCTCCAGACACTCTTGTGCCTGTTTGAGCTTTCTCCAAAACTTTTTTTTGTTGAGATGCTTGTTTCTGGATTTTTGTTTAGTAGAGACGGCAGAATAATCTATTGATCCATTGTTTTGAATGAAAATGTCCTTATTATCTTTTATTTGTGATATAGGTTGTTCTTGCAGCTTCTATTGTGACCAAATCCGGAAAAGGTGAGTTATTTATTTCTTTAAGAAAGCAAATTGTATATTTCGTTTCTTGCTTATGGCCTTCCATAGGATGTTGAAAGTTTTCTACAGCCTCAAAAGAAAAAGAAAAACCACTTTTAAATATCATTACTGTAATAGTCTCGTAAATTTTATTTACAGACTGTGCTAAGTGATCTTTTAATTGATTCATGAACTTTATTTTACATAAGAATGAGGCACTTAAAAAAATGTCATGAAAGGTGGTAGTTGGCTATTAAAAATTATTTGGTATTACATTACAAGCCTGGGGTTAGTTCTTGCTTTCATGGTGTTGGGTTCTATGTCTTCTTCTTTTCTGTCTTCTTCAGTGGTACCTGCTTGTATTTGTTTGCATCTAGGCCATGAACTATTGTTTTGCTTGCTTATGATAATATTTTACTGTGAATTCTTTTTCTTGCTCTTCTTGATATTCTTTATTCCCTGCAGTGCTTGTTTCTAGGCAGTTTGTGGATATGTCTCGTATACGAATTGAGGGTCTTCTTGCAGCTTTTCCTAAGTTGGTTGGCACAGGAAAACAACATACTTATGTTGAGACTGAAAATGTCCGCTATGTTTATCAGCCAATAGAAGCTTTGTACTTGCTACTTGTTACAAACAAACAGAGCAACATCCTTGAAGATCTGGAAACTCTGAGGCTGCTTTCCAAGCTTGTATCCTTTTAAGCTGCTCTTTGTTTACTTTTCATCTTCTTAAATCAAGGTTGACAATTTATTGCTTTTACTTATCGCCTATTATTGATAGGAAAGGTGTCTTCTTTTTGTTGTCATGGATTTACCAGTGTGGATCTGGAACTTGCTTTTCTTGTATATATTTACATTAGGTTATGATTCCTTTGTCATTTCTAGCTCATTACAATTTATTGGTGCATGCCACATATTATTTTTAAATTTTTTAATTAAAGCTTTCAGATCTGTGCATGTCTTTCCGAGATTGTTAATCCCATTAATGTAGAAAAAAAGGTGTATTGTATATTCCTTAATGTCTTCAGGTACCTGAATATTCCTACTCTCTAGATGAGGAGGGTATTTGCAGGACAGGTTTCGAGCTGATTTTTGCGTTTGATGAAGTTATCTCTCTTGGGCACAAGGAAAACGTGACTGTTGCACAGGTCAAGCAGTACTGCGAGATGGAGAGTCATGAAGAGAAGTTGCACAAGCTGGTATTGCAGAGCAAGATCAATGAAACCAAGGATGTCATGAAGCGCAAAGCTAGTGAGATTGACAAAAACAAGGTACTTTTTACGGTTCTGTAGTGGTTCCTTTTCTAATTGGTGGCTTCTGTAGTTTCTTGGGTTGTGTTGCAATTTGAAACTATTATATATTCTGCAGATTGAGAAGAATAGAGGTGAAAAGGGAGGCTTTATTTCCTTGCAGTCGATGGGATCTGGAAGAATTGAGAGTGGCTTTAGTGATATGAGCATTTCTAGTGGTGGTGGTGGTGGTTTTGGTAGTGGTTCTGGATTTGGTTTGAGCACTGATATTGAGTCCTTTTCCACCAAGTCTAAAGGTCTGTGTACTTTAGATGGAATGAATTCTATGAGTTTGCTACTGATTTTTTATGGGTTGTGGATTTTGTTGACATACATGCTGTATGTTAGCAAATAAACATGCATTTCAGCTAAATAATTGAGAATTCCTTTTGAGTTGCTAGGCAGATAGGTTATACTTTGTTCTGTCTTTAAGATATCTGTATGGTGCCTTTTTGTGGAAATCTGTTTAATGAATCTGTTTCTGGACTGCTTGATGATTTGTTTTTGAACTGAAGAGAATTCTTATCTCTTATATATTTGCATCATTAGGTCGTCCACCTTCATCTGCCACAGCTCCTCCTAAGGGTCTTGGTATGCAGCTTGGTAAATCCCAAAGGACAAATCAATTCTTGGAATCTCTGAAAGCAGAAGGCGAAGTGATTCTTGAAGATGTGCAGCCAAAAGCAGGCCAGCCAAGATCTGCTGCTCCACCATTAACTGATCCTGTCACTTTGACGGTTGAGGAGAAACTCAATGTGACTTTGAAACGAGATGGTGGGATGAGTAACTTTGATGTCCAAGGAACTTTGTCTCTCCAAATTCTTAATCAAGAAGATGGTCTTATCCAAGTTCAGGTACTTGGAATTGATGGTCTTATTCAAGGAACTTTGATGGTCCATGTGATTTTGCTGTTGTTTATTACAATATATCCTGTGTTATTTCAGATTGAGACTGGAGGGAATCCGGCCATTCTTTTCAAAACCCATCCTAATATGAACAAAGAACTCTTCACCAGTGAGAATATACTGGGCTTGAAGGACCCTAATAGGCCTTTCCCCACTGGCCAAGCTGGTGATGTGGGAGGTGTTGGTCTTTTGAAGTGGAGAATGCAAAGTGTTGATGAGTCAATGGTGCCATTGTCAAGTGGGCTCAAGTCTTTCACTGAATTTTCTCTCTATATCATTTCTTTTCTATGCTAAAAGCATTTATGTGGATTTATATTTATCTATTGCAGTTAACTGCTGGCCCTCTGTTTCTGGAAACGAAACTTATGTGAGCATCGAATATGAAGCTTCATCAATGTTTGACCTGCAAAATGCTGTAATCTCAGTACCTCTTCCCGCTCTCCGAGAGCCACCAAGTGTTAGGCAGATTGATGGAGAGTGGAGGTAAGAAATTTGATTTTGTATACTTTTTGAGTTTTGGATTTTAGTTATCTTTCCTTCTATTTGTCATGACAAGAATATGTGCCTTCAACACTAGCATTCCTTTTGACTTTCAGGTATGACTCTAGAAATTCTGTCTTGGAGTGGTCGATACTTCTCATTGATAACTCTAACCGCAGGTCAGTGATTACTATACTTTCACCTTCATGAGTTACATATTCTCTTGTTCAGTGTAAGTGCATAAAATTGATATTGTACTCTACTGAATATGCAGTGGATCGATGGAATTTGTTGTGCCTCCAGCTGATTCATCAGCTTTTTTCCCCATCTCTGTGCGGTTTTCAGCTACCAGTACATACAGTGACCTTAAGGTTTGCTTGACATTATAATTTGGTTTTTTGTTATTGTCTCAATGAATAATAATATGTTTTCATCTCTTTTTGTGGTTACAATCTTGTGGTAACATCATAAGTTCGCTAAGTTTCTGGTATTATTTATATGCTCCTGTTGTAATATCATTTTCAAGCATAAATTCTTACTATGGTGTGCACTTCATAGTGGAACTTATTTTAAATTGAATTCTGTTCTGAAAGGGCTCGTCCTGCCCTTGGAAACTATTATGTATTTAAGTGATCAAACCGATGTGAAGGTATAATAGATGTTGTAAATTTCACCGTAACCTCGACATTTTCACAGCATATGATGATATTTATGGTGGTGATCTATTAGGTTTAAACCCATTCTGTACCCGTGGAGGTTTTGATGTGCGCTCATTTTTTTGCGGTCATCAATATGTTCTTTTAGATACTATATAAACGAAATAGATAAATTATTCATTCCCTTTAACTTTTCCGCCTCTGGTTTTCATTTTCTGTTTTGATTTTTAACTCAAAATTGTTGTTGCTGCAGGTTGTAAATATCCTCCCCCTAAGAGGCGGACCTTCTCCCAAGTTTTCACAGAGAACGGTTTTGGCCACAGAAAATTACCAAGTTGTGTGATCGCTTCTTTCTGAATTTCATGCACGGGGTTATGAGAGTTTCCATTGGCATTCTTAGAGTACACTTTGAATTGTATGGGAGTTTGACAATTAGCATTTTTTTTTCTTTTTACATTTTTTGTTACCCATTGTATAAGTTTAGAGAGACCTGTTGCTGCTCTTTTTATCTTATTGACCTAAAATTTTCATGTTATGAATAGTTCATCTGGGCACAATTTTATAGTATTAAAGATTCATAATGACCAAGTGAGGCATATTTTTGAATTGATCAATTATGACTTGTTGTGTTGAATTATGAGAGAAAGTTTATAAAATTGAATTATAAGTATAATGTTATTTTTTTAGTTATTTTCTGAGTCGCCGAGATATTTATGAATAGTTCATATGGGCACCAACTTAAAGTATAAATATTAAAATCAAAAGGACAAGTCGAATGAAGAAGGCTGGTTAAAATAATTAAATAAAGGGTTCAA